CGCATCCGTGAGATTGTGCATCTTGATAAATATATAAATTATTTTTTTAAATATATACATAGCAAATAGCATATACATGAAGCTGAAGTTGTGTTGGTTACATGAAGAAAAAAGAAAATTCCCTAATGCGAAGCCAGTGAAAACAAGGATACATTAAATTGTTTAAAAGTGGCAGTAAAGACATGTATAATGTTACCAAAAAGTCTATTTCAAATAAATGCTGTTCTTTTGAACTTTCTGTTCATCAAAGAATCCTGAGAAAAGTATGGTTTCCACAAAATATAAGCACAACTGTTTCAACATTTATAATAGTGAAAAATGTTTTTAGAGCACATTAAAATGATTTTTGAGGGATCTTGTTTCCACACAAGATAAAAAAATCGCACCGAGCCCAAACTTTTGAATATTAATGTAATGTCATAATAAAATATAATAGTTACATAATGTTATAATAAATACTATTCTATTGTTTTGTGATTTACTTAAACGGCTCAAAATATTGCACACAACTGTCATAATTGTAATTCATTATATATTTCTTTAATCAAAGTTCTCACTGAATCTTTTAATGATTGTATTTTTAAATCAATAAATCATATACAAATAAATGTGAATAAAAATGAAATGTTTACTTAAAGTGTATTCTATTGCAAGAAATTCCCACTGAAGCATTTCTTTGGATCAGTAATTGCCTCACCGTTTTTACCAGAAAATGTATTTAAAACAAACATTCAGAATTCAAGAATCAAATCAGAATCAAAACAGAATTGGTTTTAAATTCAATTAAAAATTGTATTCAAGTTTCAAGTTTCAGTCTCACACAAAACTCCCCCACCCACATACACTGCTGTTTTTCCACACTTGTCTTAAATGGCTTACTGAATGCATGACACAATAGCTGAAATAAGGTCAGTGTGTTTATGTCTGTGTCCAGACGGATGGTCGTCTAGGAATAACACTTGCATAACACAGTAATAACACAGATATAACAAAGGAATAACACAGTAATAACACAGAAATAATTCTGTAATAACACAGGAATAACACAGTAATAACACAGGAATAACACATTAATAACACAGTAATAACACAGGAATAACACGTGACAACAAAAATAACAAAGGAATACCAAAGTAATAACGCAGAATTAACACATTAATAACACAGTAATAACTCAGTGACAACAGAAATAACACCGGAATAACACAGTAATAACTCAGGAATAACACAGAAATAACACAGTACTAACATGGTAATAACAGAAATAACACAGGAATAACACAGCAATAACTCAGGAATAACACAGTAATAACACAGAAATAACACAGGAATAACACGTGACAACAGAAATAACAGGAATACCAAAGTAATAACACAGAATTAACACATTAATAACACAGTAATAACACAGGAATAACTCAGTGACAACAGAAATAACACGGAATAACACAGTAATAACACAGTAATAACAGAAATAACACAGGAATAAAGTAATAACATATTAATAACACAGGAATAACACCGTAATAACACAGTAATAACTCAGTAATTACACAGTAATAATGCAGTAATAACACAGGAATAACACATTAATAACACATTAATAACACAGTAATAACAGAAATAACACAGTAATAACAAAGAGCACAGGAATAACATAAATAACTTTGGAATAACACTGTAATAACACAGAAATCACAGGAATAAAACAGGATTAACACAGTAATAATAGAAATAACTCAGGAATAACACAGGATTAACACAGTAATAACACAGTAATAATAGAAATTACTCGGGAACAACACATTAATAACAGTAGTAACACAGGAAAAACACAGTGACAACAGAAATAACACAGGAATAACAAAGTAATAACACAGGAATAACACAGAATTAACACATTAATAACACAGAAATAACAGAGGAATAACTCAGTGACAACAGAAATCACACAGGAATAACACAGTGACAACAGAAATAACCCAGTAATAAAACAGGATTAACTCAGTAATAACCCAGTAATAACGCAGTAATAACTCAGTAATAACACAGTAATAACAGAAATTACTCGGGAATAACACATTAATAACACAGGAATAACACATTATTAACACAGTAATAACAGTAATAACAGAAATAACACAGGATTAACACCGGAATAACACAGGAATAACGCAGTAATAGCAGAAATAACACAGTAAATACACAGTAATAACACAGTAATAATTCAGTAATAAAACCGGAATAACTCAGTAATAACACAGAAATAAAACAGGAATAACTAGTAATAACACAGTAATAACACAGACATAACACAGACATAACACAGCAATAACTCAGTAATAACACAGGAATGAAGCCTGCAAACTGCACGAAAACTGAAAGACCACAGAGCTAGGACGGAGAATATGTGAATAGATTTGAACTGTGATTTCAAATCTAAGGAAATAGAGACAATAGCGACTGACCTTTAAGGTGCACAGATGGAAAAACCTGCGACTTCATCTTTGGTTCACTCTCAAAAATAAAGGTTGTTTATTGGCATATACGGTTCCATGAAGACCCTTTAACATCCATAGAACTTATCCATTCCAGGTTCTTTATAGCGGAAGGTGTTTCTTCAGATGATCAAATTGCTCTTCACACCAAGAAAAAAAAAGGTTCTTTTAAGAACTGTTCACTGAAAGGTTCTTTGGGGAGCACAAAATTGTTCTTGTATGACATCAAAACCTGCTTTTGGAACCTTTATTTTTATGCGTGTTGTAATGCAAAATGAAAACACAGAGGTTCCAAAAGGGGGTTTTCACAGTGATACCATAGAAGAACCATTTCTGGTTCCCCAAAGAACCTTCCAGTGAACAGTTTTTTTTATCCATCACCATTAGCAGTAGCCGTCATGTTGCAGATCAAGAGTGGGATTAAGAAACAATCATGTAGGCAAAATATGTCAACATGGGATTGTGGAAAGACAATGAAGTCGATTTTTGTGTAGAGTATCACGAACAATCTTTGCTGTCCAATGTTTATGAAATCTTACGTTTCCAAACCACGACATTCCCACTGAATCTTTGGGATGCTAAATGTCCCTTTGTACCCTCATTGACTCTCCACATGTACGGGCAGGTCAGGAGGTAATTCATCTGCCTTTAGAGGGGATTACTGAGTGCTTCAAGTTAAACGCTTGAGATAAACACTTCTCTGCTGCTCCTCTCTGATCTCTCTGTTGCAAAACGTGTTACAGTGTACAAGGGAGGTATTTTCCAGCATACTGTGAACTCTCTCATTAGCACAGTGGGACTTCTCAGCTTGAATCCCTACGCAGACTGAATGTAAACACATTTAGACCAATAAACAGCTTTGATATGAAAGTGCCATCCAAAGAACACAAGTGCAAATTGAAATGTAAATACGGCTTTATTTAACTCACAGCTGAACAATGTATTGTGTGGGGATTACATTGTTATTAATTAGCTGAATTATAAAATCAGGCTATGCAAATCTGCTATTGTTCTTCACAAAGCATGCTGATGCAAATAATCCTTCCCATCTCATTACCTTAATAATGTTATCAATTTTCCTAATTTCACGGTCAGGTATCGATGCTTAAACAAATTCATGCCCAATATATGAAACACTTATTACCCTGAGGTATGAAAATGAATCTGTAAAAAAAAAAATCTAACTCAAACATATCACACTTGTTTTATAATGACTCTGGGGCTCAGACTTTTACAGATCCACAATAAAGAGCTCATTCTCTAGATTGATCTATTCTGTGCCATTGTCAAACATTCACATAAAACTCCTGAAATTGCTATCAATCAAAGTTTTACAGTGCAGCAAGGCCACACTATATTCATGTTATTTTTATTCTTTATGAACGTTAGCCATGAATTTAGCTCAAAGATTTTTTTTTGTTGTTGCATTGTAGCACTGGAGATTCCTTTAAAGAAAATAAAATTCAAGACAAGGATTCCTGGATTCAATGAGTGTTGTAAGACCCTAACCCTAATTGCTTCATTTAATCCCATACTTACGGACTTGTAAAAAAAACGAAGAATTCTACACAAGGCAATTTTTTTCGTGAAAACTAGACATTTTAAGAGAATCCGTGTGCTTAACTCATTTAAACAATAGCCTCATACTGATACTGCTCCATTAAATGCACTGCCAGCAATTTTAGGATTTTCTGGCAGTTGGTAGAAAATATTCCAGAACTGAATGCAATCCCTCTCTCTAAATGCACCAGAACGGTTACTCCATCTAGTGGCAAACATTGCAATCTTGAACTGAACTTTATACAGCCTGAAGAACAAGACAAATGCAAAGCAGTATCAAACTATATTTATTATATACAGTAGTAAATGGCCAACATAGGATCCCCTGCTCTCCCAAACAACTCTGCTATTCCCATTACAACACTCACACATGTTGATTTGGCTTGAATTCACTGTGGAGTTGCAATTAAACCAGGATAGCGTTTAATACTCTTGATATGCCAGAAGGGCTAAATGAGAGTGATGTTACTATAATGACGTATTTGTAGAGGGCAAACTATGACACTATAAAATTAAGGGGAACACTTACGTTTGTATATCATGAAATTCATAGCAAACTTTTAAAGAGATATGCATCAAAGCTTTTAAAATTAAAAATAGCTACCGGTAAATGATCCGCAATCTAGCTTTATCAAACCTGAGGTGTCAGAAAAACACAATGCTGCAATGTCACCGTTCGAAACGGTTCATAAAAAGGTCGTCTTAAAGTTTAGTTGTTTACCACAATTAAAGAAATTCTGGGACCATACTAAGAAGTCACAAACATCCTCTTTCACAAAGCTTCCCTCCTCGTATATAAAAATAGATGGGGGAGGTGCAAACATACATACATAATACAAAAACGCATACAACAGGCATACAATCTCCAAAAGGGGGAAAAAACAACATTACTAACTGTCATTTCCAATTTAGTTCAGGGAGAACATTGGAAAAACGGAACATCCTCTTTCACAAAGCTTCCCTCCTCGTATATAAAAATAGATGGGGGAGGTGCAAATATACATACATAATACAAAAACTCATACAACAGGCATACAATCTCCAAAAGGGGGAAAAACAACATTACTAACTGTCATTTCCAATTTAGTTCAGGGAGAACATTGGAAAAACGGAAATGAGGTCTTTGGATGATTAAAGAGAGAGAGAGAAAAAAAAAAGAGCTATTAACTTAAACCGGTTTGATTTCTAGAACCTTTTCCCATTTCAGCCCTGAACTGCAGTGGAAGTGAAGATGAGCACAAATAAACAAGCTTCATCCACATGTGCTTCATCTTTAGCAGGTTCCTCCCGTCTGCTGCTGGAATACATCGATAGTGTCCTCATCTTCCATTTCCAGCTGAAAATTCACATAAAAACATACACCGAGTACATTTCAAACTGAGGCCTTATAACAGTTTATGTGCGCCAAGCTCCAGGTTTGCAAATACACTATGACAAATGCAGCTTTTTTTTTTAGCTGTTTGTATGGATTGCTTAACTTTATTTATTTTTTTGGACAAAGACTGCATCCTCAATGAGATTTGGAGCCGATTAAATATTACTGAAAGCAACTAGGAAAATACAGTACCCATTGCAAGACAGCATACATGTTTATTAAAAAAATATTACTAAAAATAGTGTGAATTGTGATGTTTTGACTCTAGCTGTTTGGGCTCTCATTGTAACGCTAAATTTCTCCAAATCTGTTCCAATAAAGAAAGCAATCTACATCTTTGATAAGGCCTGAGGGCAAGTACATTTTCTGCAAACTATTCAGGAAACAGTGAACTATTCCTTTAAACAGCTAACATTTCAGAAGCTGCTAACATTTGTACCAACAAACTGAAAAATAAGCGTACAAACCTGTGCAGGTGTGTCCGTCTCATTGATTGGCTGACCATCAAACCTGAACCTAATTTGCCTTATGGATAAACCCTGAAAAAAACCCCATCAAAGTTATAGATCTGCACATCAACATAACGTTGATGCAAAGCTTCATGATGTGTGCAGATCTCAGGATCACTGGAGCTCACGCTGCAGTCTCACCTGTCTTTCGCAGTAGGCCTTCATCAGTTTGCTGAGGGGGGTATGCCTTTTAATTTTGAACTGGACCACAGATCCATCCTGACCCGCCACTTTCAAGTTGATGTGGTCATTTTCAGTCTTCACGCCCTCCTGAAATGAAATATGCAGTGTGTGGTGTTAAACAAAGATGAATCGTGAACATGCACTGTTCTGGAGGGTCTCTACACACACACACACACACACACACGGTACACGATTTGAGCTAAACCCACATTGTGCTTTACATGCAGTCCCTGTAGTAAACATTAACGTTAGATGTTCCTGAGACACTGAGTAAGAGATGAACGACGCGCTAAACAGCCAGACTCGAGTCTATATCAGCATTTGTTCAAACACTAAAGGGCTGCGTGAACAACTGTGCGACGCTTTCGGTGCAACTGCGTTTGGCGCAAAGTTGTAGCAACTATCCGCCACAAAAGAAAGCCAATCTGAGCATCTCGCTGGTGCTGAATCGAAGCAAAATACTGCCGATTTGATTGTTAGCGACAAGAGATGCAATGATTCTCCATGTAGTTGGATGGATGGCTGAGATACATGGCCATATGCGGAAAATGCGCAAAATCTTTGTTGCAAACCTCTTTGTTTCCCCACATATAATGTGCAGGATCCCGACCATCTACATTCACGCATTAGAACCACATCAAAACACACCCCTCCGTGCTGCTGGAGCTCGGCGCACAGAGAAATGCATGTACCTTTGGCTTCTCGTCTGACATTTTTGTAGAAATGTAGGATTCTCCCGGTGAATGTGGCTGTGACGGTGACACGAGTGCTGTCCTCCCCGCGCTCAGCAAGAAAGCGCAGACTGGATTCGCACGTTTGATTGGCCCGGGCAAAGCCACGTGATTCCCAGCAGGGCGCTGTTAGCCCCAGAACGCGCAAAATCAACTCGTCCATTTTATTGGACAGTATGAAACCACGTGACCAATCCTCCTGTTCTGGTTAGGGTCTGAGGCTACAAATTACTTTTAATTAGGAACATAGTTTCAACATGATAATGTGTTACTTTTGCTTAATGAAAAAATATTACATTAGACACGACTAAAAACACATCTCTTCCATCTTTATTTGGCCCACTAACTCTAGCACTCTATTCTAATTCTATTTGATCTATTTGTTGACTTGATCCTCCAACACTTGCACTCTCTGTTCATTTTCTAACTGATTTTTTTCTTTTAAAAAAAGGCCTGTAACACCAGCTTTCCCTATTCTTTTTCTATTCTACTTGTTTTCTTTGTGTTTTATATATATATGTATATACATACATACATGTGTGTGTGTGTGTGTGTGTGTGTGTGTGTGT